AAGGTGCCGAGGGCAAATTTCCCACAAACACAGCTGAGTTGTGACTACCAGCAACTGAGCAACCACAGGTTTTATCTCCAAGATAAATCCCTGCTATCTGTTGAGATAAAGCCTGCTACAGCATCCCCTCATTTGGGGAGGGAGCAGCTTCCCCATTGGGAATTTGCCTACAGCAGCAATGTCCACAGAACCCACAGTTGGTGGTGTGTTGGGCACTGGCAATAGGATTTTCCTCCCCATGGCCATCCCCAACAAGGAGACCTCCATAACAGCCCCATCCATGAGCTGACGTCCCCCATTGCATCCCCACCAGCTGCTCCAGGTTTCCCACATCCCTCATTACCAGGGCATGAAGCCTTGGGGCGATGGCACAAGGACAAAGCTGAAGCTGCAGTGTCACCATAGGGTCTTCTGAGATGCATCCTTCCACCACGGCAAGCACAGGGCAGTGCCATTTCCAGGAGAACACACACCTGATATCTCCACCTCTTACCCCAGCCCAGCTTCTCCCAGAGATCAGTGCATCTCTGAAGCATGTGGGGACAGTGTTTGCAGAGTGACTCACGCCAACCTGACGTGCTGGTAATAAATTCTGTTACAGCAATAACCAAACTTCTACTGCTATTGCAGGGCTATTTCTGTCTTCACCAGGGAGTGCTCCCAGGTGTTCACATCTCCGTCTTTTGCACGCTGTCACCTCTGTCCTCGCTGTGACTGCCTGAGGCAGCTGGGAGTTGATGATGTCAACCTTGGCACCTGGCCCCTGCCCCACGTGTCCTATTGCTGCCCCAGCCCTCGCTGCCCAGCCTGAGGGATGGGCTCCCATCCAGCACTCAACCTATGGGGATGTGACACTGGGTGCTCCTGGGCATCACCCAGCCACAGGAAGGGATGTGCATGGCACATGGCTTCCTTGGCAGCAAGAAGGCACTTTAAGGTTCCACAAAATGCCTCACAGAGACCCATGAAGCCCAGGAGGAAGAAAAGGATATGAAGGCTTTTGGGATGGGGAGGAAGAGAAGGTCCCGTTTGGAGGTACCTTTGCCCTACAGGAGATATGGGCACAGTGTGATTCCTGGGACTATGGAGGCATCCTGGGCCATGTGCTGGGGCTTAAAGCAGCCAGGACAAGCTGCCTAGGCAGCAGGGATCAGGGGGCACCCTTACATCAGAAGGGGCTGGCAGTGCTCACGAGGACACTGTGCTGAGCCATCAGGCACCAGCAGCTCCAGCAACAGTGGCCAGGGAAGGGACTATACCTGCCTTGGGGAGCTGTGCCCGTGGGTTAGGGGGCAGCCACATCATCCCTATCCCACTGCCAGCAGCCACCACACCACACAGATGGATGGCTCTGTGAGCCACCCAACAGCACTGCATGGCCCTGTGATGCCACAGGCATACTGAACCACCCAACCCTGACTGCAAGCAGCCCCAGGGATGGGCATGAAACATCTCAACCACTGAATGCACAGGAATCAGCCCCTACAGAGCATTTTCCCTGCAGATCCCATCTGTGCCCAGTCAAGCAGTGCAGCCAGGACCTGACACAGCAACACTGGGCTTTTTCCTGCTCCTTCTGATGTGTCCCATGGGGACTCACTGGTACACGAGGTCAGCCACATCTCTGGGCACTTCCTCATTCACAGGCCCGTGCCCCGCTGGGTACACACAGCAAACGCTGTCCCTGGGAACAGCCTCATTTTGGGCAAAACTCTCTGTGTTTCTGGCCTGAGCCTTTAACCCAGGAGCATCTGGCAGCTGCTGCAGCACGCAAGACAGCTCAGCATTTTGTCGGACCAGGTTTTCCCATCTTTAGTCATGTTTGTGCTCCTCCAGCTCCACCAGCACGGAGAAACATACCATGAAGAAAAGGCTACAAGAAATTACATTCCTTTTTTATTTACCTATGACCGTGACAATGTATTTTTGCTAGCTGCAGAGATGCTTTGCACTGTAAACTGGGCGCCCGGACGCATGCAGTCCATCCGGCTCCGCCGCGTTCAGCAACAGCCCCACGTCTCCAAACGCAGTATTGTGATCCAGAGTAGGGAGAGCACCGATTCCCAGAGCTGCTTATCTCCATCAGCAAGCCCTCCGTCGTCAGGGCAGGATATGTACACCCAGGCTCCCCCAGCACTGCTAGGGAACGCGTTATCAGTTTGTTGTTTTTTTTTTTTCCTTTTCTTTGTCAGATAAAACCTGCAAACTTAGAAAATGTTGCACACACTCGTAAAAGAGAAGGCATCCACTCCACGGGAGAACTCCGCCGTGACACGCACAACTATTGCACTTGTAAATTGGGAACGAGGTTTTCCTATAATACAGCGATGCGTCCAGCGAGAGGAGGTCAATAAATAAACCAGGAATGAGGGGAGCGTGAAGCTCCTGCGGGATGGCTGCCTTGGGGCAGAGATGCGCAGCAGCACCGCGGGGCTGGGTCGGGTCAGGAGTCCTTTGTCCAGAGATGACGCCCACATCGGTGCTGCCTGGGGAAAAGCAGAGCCCTGCGTAAAAGCCTTCCTCCTCCACGCTGCGTTGGGATCAAGCGTCGCCATCCAGCCACATTTGCAGCTCAGGTTCACAGTAGTCATGCGGGAGCTCCCCTCCTGGCTGACATCTGCCCCACGGCGTCGTACCAGCGATGGCAGGACGGGGCGATGGAGCAGTACCAGCCTGCTTGGCACCGGTGCCCCCACCGCCCCACACCTGGGGGGCACGGCCGGCTGCAGTGAGGTCCCCACCGCAGGTTCCATGTAAACACGCAGCTCCCAGTCTGCCCTGTTGCCCTACAGCGGGGAGCTGGCTTTCTTCTGGTGGACGATGTCCAAGTACAAGTCAGAGCGGAGGAAGCGGGGGTACGAGTCCTTCTCCATCAGCCCATAAATCCTCTTCTGCGCGAGGTCGAAGCAGCCGCGGGTGATGTTCTGCAGGTTCTCCTTGGTGTGCTCCCGTGTGTAGGAATCCAGGTTCACCTGTGGGCAGAGAGAGCAGTGAGCGGCCCCACGGGCCCCAGGGCACAGAGCTGGCTCTGAGCGGGAGCCGGCCTCACCTCCTTGCAGGACTGGATGGCGATGTACTCCGCAAAGATCTTCTTGGCCTTGGAGACCATCTTGGACTGGGATTTGATCTTTTTGTACTCCTCGCATGCCAGCCAGAACTCCAGGTTCTCCTCACTGAACTCGGTGCGCAGGAAGGCCCTGAAGGCCGCGAGCCCATCTGTGGGGACAGACACAGCTCTACTCCTGGGCAGACACACACCTCTATCAAACCCCAAATCCCTGCCATCTCACTCCCTAAAAATCCCCTATGAACAGCAGCAGTGCAGGTGGCGATGCCTGGCCTGACAGCACGAACATGAGCCACTTCTCAGCCATCTGGGCTCTCAAGGGGGATCTCAGCATGGATTGGGAGCTTGGGATAGAGATGGGATCCCCACAGGGACATGTAGACAAGGAAGGGAGTGCTGCAAAGCTGCTCCTGCCCCACAGACACAAGGCAGGCAGGGTATCCTGCCTTTCCCTCCCCAGTGGAGCTCCCACAGTCCTGAGCTCTCCCTGGCTCCTGCAATAATGTTCCCCCCTGAGTCTCCCCCCCAGCTTGGCAGAGGAAAAATGAGTGCAAGGAAAGTATCATAGAATCATATAATGGCCTGGGTTGTAAAGGACCTCAAAGATCATCCAGTTCCAACCCCCTGCCACAGGCAGGGTTACCAACCACCAGACCAGGCCACCCAGAGCCTGGGACGCTCCATTCCATCTCCATTCTCCCCAAGACACCAGAGCTGAGGAAATCACAGCGCTCCCCATGCACACACCTGGACATTCCTCAGTGGCAAAGGCAAAAAAGAGGGGCAAACACTCACATTTGTGCAGCAGCAGCTTCTCCAGGGACTCCCCCCACTTGAGAGCTTCCTCAGGTGCAGGCCTGCAGGATGAGGGCATTTGTTAGCAGAGTGAAGCTGCAAAAGCCACAGCTGCTGTCTGCCACCATGCAGCTGCCCTGGAGGAAGAACGCTTCCAGCAGCAGCAGCATCACTGTGCACCCTGCAGTGACTGCAGCACCACTGGCACCCGCAGTGCTGAGCTGGCTGTGCTGGAATGAATGCTCTGCGTTCAGGGTGGCAGGAAGAAAACATGAGGTAAGGGAGGGCCATGCGTGCTGCAGCCTCTGGGCCAGCACTGGAAAAATCCCAGGCAGTGCCCAAGGCTGTGGGATTTCAGGTGCCCCAATGAAGCCGCAGGCTGGGCAGCGCTCGTCCCAGCTGCTGGAGCACCTCCAGGGCTGAGCAGTTTCCCAAAGCATCCTCTGTCCAGCTGAAGGTGTCATGTTGAAGCACTGGGGGAAGGCGGGGAAATTTCCAGTCCCGAGTGCCACCGGCACGGGGCAGGGAGCTCCCTGCAGCCCAGGGCAGCATTCAGACAAAAAAAGTATTTAACACAGCTCAGGCACCGTGAGCTTCTGCCCACAACCTCCCCAGCTGGGTGACCCAGCATCCCCGGAGGTGGCACCAAGCCTGGACAGAGCTCGTCCGTGCCCCCGGAGCCCCACACCGTCCACCCGCAGCACCTACTTGAGCGACTTGAGCACTTTGTCCAGCTTGCCGGAGGGGTTGGCTCCCGGAGACTCGTTCCTGCGCCGGAAAATCCCCAGCCGGTTCTTCATATCCTTGGCTCTGGAGGAGAAGATCAAAGTTTAGGGGCGGGCAGGAAGGGGAGCAGCTCCCAGAGGTGCGCGGTGCCACGGGGCGCCCTGTCCCGCTCATCGCCCATCACCTACTCCTTCATGGTGTGCCGGCGCTGCAGGCTGCCGTTGTGCGGCCGCTGCACACCCAGCAACATTTCGGCGTGAAACTCCAACGGCTGCGGTTTGGAGAGGTCACGAAAAAAGGGCATCGTTTGTCGGGGCAGCTCCAGCACAGCCGGCACGCCTGGCCCGGCGCTGCGCTCTGCGGCTCCGCACCGGGACGGCGCGGAAGTGGGAGGGCCAAACGGAGCTGCGTGGCGTGGATGAGGTGTGGGTGAGGAGGGCTGTGTGTCAGCCCAGCGCTGCTCGGGACGGCTCCGCCGTTGCTGGGGAAACTCGAGGAAAGGTGGAAAAAAGCATGGGAGAGGGCGGGGAGATGGGGCCTTTCAAGGGACTGCGGGGAAAGTCATCGCGGCGGGGATTTACGAGCGCTATTTATAGGGCGTTGGGGAATGCGGCGGTGCGGGGCTGCGTCTCCTGTGCGGGGCCGGCAGCACGGCTGGGAGCGGCAGGGGTGGCAGCGTCAGATGTCAGTTTGGAGTGGGCACGGCCGTGAGGACATCGCGGCGGGATGGTTGGGACGCACTGGGTAACTCACAGCCACGGCACCGCACGGTGCCAACCCCCACGCGTCCCCACGCTGCCGTCCCTGTACGGACAGACAGATGTGCGTCCGTGCACGGCGCTCCCGCTGCCCCGGGAAGCTGCCGTCGGAACGCAGTACCGGTTTGAGCGGCGGCCACGGGCACCGGCGTTGCCCCAGTCCTGCCCGGCTCTCGGCGGGCAGCGGGAGGTGACAAAGAGAGCTCGGGATGGGCGATGCTGACCCCTCGTGGCACAGCTTCCGAGTGCACTGAGGATGATGGATGGTTGGGGACGCGGGGTGGCACGGCCACCTCCCGCAGGTCCCACGTCGCAGGGTGCTCGGAGGAGCTGCCGCTGCGTGTGGCTGCGGCCGGGGCTGGTTGGGAACGCGACGGACACGGAGGGGTTCGCGGTGTCCCCAGTTGTCCCCAGCTGCTGCCAGGCACCAGCACAGCACAGACACTGGACCGACAGATCTAAACGAGGAGCTCCAAACCCCGCCTGCATCCCATCGGCAAGGCTCTAGCCGTCCCACACAGCTCCCAGCAACAATTTTAGCACTGTTCTCACTTTAGCAACACAGCCACCGCAGCTGGGATCCTGGCGAGGTGTGAAAAGCACTGAAAAGTCCCTGTGTTTGTGTGTCTGTATGTCCACGTGTCCATCCGTCTGTGTGAGGGAGCAGCGCCTGTGGGCTGCACTTTGTGCACCCTCTGCACCCACAGCTCTGCAGCACCAGGTTTCCCACAGCAGGAAGCAAAGCCCCAGAGGAGTCCCCAAGCTTAAAACCTGTGGAATGCTGTACTCTCAGCGCTCCTCGAGCAGATGCTCGTGAATAAACAGCAAGCAGCACACAGCCTGGCTGCTCCCACTGCAGAGTGCACACAGCCCCTAGTAAGGTGCTGCCACAAAAATCCACAGTGCACTGCTGGGTTCGACCTGGATTCACCTCCATCAGCCGTCTGCAAGGCCTCGTCCAGCCCCGTCTCCCCATGCCACCTCCAAACCATCCCCTGCAGCGCACATCGCCGTCCCCACAGGAGCGCTGCCCTACCTTTCCAGGCACTTCTCAGAAAAATCCACCATGGTGAGGTGCATCAGGAGCAGCTGGCAGTGCCGAACCGCGGCCACTCTCCCCATAAATACCCCACAGGCCACCTGGCAGCCATCCCTGCAGCCAATCGCCGCCCGCTGCGACGCACCGCGCTCCCACAGCCATCCCAAGGTGAGCGGCGCAAACCCTCCCCACAGCCGCTCCCGCGCCCTACAGATCCCCCCCCCGCCGCCCCAATTCCCCCCGGCTCACGTGGGGGATGTCCCCGCTGCAGATGGCGAGGAATTGATTTTCATTTCGAGTGTTTGGAGAATGAAAGGAGCTATAAATAGGCGGCTGCGGCACAGCGCGTGGGGCAACAGTGCCGCTCACAGGCAGGCTGCACGCGGGGAGCTGCCATGGAGAGGCACACGCAGCAGCGCCGCAGCCACGTGCAGCACTCATCTGCTCCCACTCACGTGTGAGGGGCAATGCCAGGGTACAGCAACCCTGCCTTGCAAAACCCTGTGGCCCCACTGACCTGCAGCTGAGCTGCCCCGTCCTTGCCCGGACCAGCTGCGGGGCATCCCAAACCCTTAGTGCAGTGTAGGGGCTGCAGCATCCCACCCATCACATCACAGTGAATGCTCCCAGCCACGCTGAGCAACATCACCAGCACTCGTCCCCCCCACCTCCCAACCTCCAGAAACTCTGGGTGAATGGGGCACGGTACCCCATGGGCTCAGCCCCGCTGTTTTGCCCATGGCACTATCGAACCGCAGTGTGCCACTTACAGGCTCCTGCTCCTCTTCTTGCGGGAGGTTTCATCCCCTTCATCACAGCTGCATTCGGGGTCGCCTCCACTCAGCTGGCGGAAAGAGAAAAGTGGTGTTTGCATCACAGTGCCATGCATGCCCTCACACCACCAGACAGCTCTGCCAGCATTTCCTGAGGTCCCCGTGCAGCAGCTCCTTCCCCAAAACATCCCTCTGCAGCAGAGCAGGGGCTGAAACCCTGACCCCCTCCCCTGCCCATGTCCTGGGGACATCCCACAACTGGTGGCCTGGGGACCCCTTGGCTTCAAGGTGCTGACAGCAGAGCCTCCTACAGGGACGCTCACATCCTCCTTCCCAGTGTTCCCATCTCTGCTGTCATGAGTGGGCACGGGGCTGGGGCACCCAAAATACTCTGGGGATCTCCCAGCAGTCCCCAGGCAGGAAAAATCACAGCAGAACTGAACCATAACATGGCAGCTTCCTATCCTCAACCTCCACACAGAGGTGACCTTGGCAGCCATGGGGACCTCGGAGATGCTACAAGGTCAAGGTGTCACCAGCACAGCCTCTGAGCCACGAAGGCCAATGGCCAGGCATTGGGCTACCTTTGCTTGGAGGCTTTGCTACCTCACTGAGCACAGCTGGAAGGGGACTCACAGCCAACCCCACAGCCAGCCCCACAGCCAGCCCAGCCCCACACTACTTCCTCGGGGCGCTTTCCAGGATTGCCGATCTGTGGCAGTGCCGTGGGAACCCACTGCATGGCCCAGCAGCCCCGGGCTCAAGGCTTCTGACACTTCCTTCCATTCTGCGCCCGGGTTTCCGGAGTTTATCAGCCCCAAACAATGCAGCCCCTGCAAAATGCCTTCCCCCCACAGATAGGGCCGGCCGGGGCGACGCGCAGCCGGGCCACGCTTCCTGCCATTGTCTGGGGAGGCTCCGCTGAGCTTGGGGACAAAAAGCAACCATTGCCGAGTCCCAGCACTCCTGGCTGTAAAACAACAACCTGCCCAGATTGAGAGCAGTGGGAGGCACAGGGAACCGTGGGCACAATGGGATGATCCCATAAATAATCCTGCTCGGTGGACAAGGCCACTGGGTGCCGTAGTACTGCAGGCAGTGCTGGGCCTGGGGGGATGCAGAGGGGAACTGTACATCAGTGCCGGATCTGGAAAGCATGGAGGGTTCCACTGGGCTCCTCCAAAGGCACAGAGCTCTAGAAGTCCCTCCCAAGTGTAGGCTGTGACACAAAGCCCCGTGTGCATGGTGGCTGAAGCAGGGAGAGTTGGCACAGGAGGAGCAGGCAGGGGACCAGGGGGTCCAAGAGCAAATTGTGCTCCAAGAAATGGCAACCAAGGTGGCTTTTGATGTATCAGGAGAATGGCACAGGGAGGGTTAATCCCATCATGGCTTTAACCTATGGTGCTGTCATGCTTGGTGGCACACAGAGCTCTGCAACAGCATCCCCTGCCAAGAGGTGGAGCAGTATGCAATGCAGTCCCAAGCATTGCAAGGTGCTCTCAAGCAGTGTGATGTGGCCCTGAGCCAAGCAGCATGGTTACAAGCCATGCAACAAGGCCACAGGCTCTGCAACATTGTGCTGAGCCATACAACATGGTCCAATGCCATGCAATGTGATCTCAGCCTATGCAACAAGCTCCTGAGCCATGCAGCAAGTTCCCAAGCCACGCAGTGTGGTCTTAAGCCACACAGTGCAGTCCCAAGCAGTGCAAACTGTGCCATGCAGCCCTGAGCCAAGCAGAGCCCTGCCCTGCAAGGTCAGGCAGAGCTGGCTGCTGGGAAGGCACAAGGGCAGTTCCACAGCAGGAATGGGGCAGCAGCACATCTCACACACCATCACTGCAATGGCAGTTCAACTGCTTTAAATACTTGCGATGCCAAACCATGGCCAGTTCCATGCAGAGCTGTATGCTCCTGTATGTGCCAGCACTGCTCTCCAGTGTCTGATGCACCACAGTTCCTCCTCAGCCTATTCAGGATGGGGTCTGCAAGGACCAAAGCCGTCTAGGAGGCCAAGCAGTGCACTCAGCTGCCGGTGTCCCTGAGCACAGCAGGGATGCACAGTCAGGGGAGGCTCCCTGGAGCCCAGCTCCTCCCTGTCCCTGCCATTGTGAGCTGCAGTTTGCACATCCAAACATCTCTTCCTCTGTGCATCTCAGCAGACAGCAGCTCTGCAGCCCATGGGATCTGTTGACACCATGGAAGATGCTGCCCCAGCACCTGGTGGCATCCCCGGGGTGCTGTGGCCCCTGGAGCTGTAGATGGGACACCCATAGAATCATAGAATGGCTTGGATGGAAAGGACCTTTAAGATCATCAATTTCCAACCCACCTGCTATAGGAAGGGACAATTCCCTTTAGACCAGGTTGCTCACAGCCCCATCCAGCCTGGCTTTGAATACCTCCAGGATGGGAGCATTCACAACCTCTCTGGGCAACCTGTTCCAGTCCCTCACCACCCTCACAGTAAAAATTTCTTCTTAACATCTAGTCTAAGTCTACCCTCTTCCAGTTTTAAGCCATTTCCCCTCATCCTGTTGCTACCTGCCCTTATGCTCCTTGCCTGTCAGACACCAGCTGAGCCACGGAGTCATGGAGAGCAGAGCCACACACAGAGAGATCCCCACGCTGGAGACATCACCCATCCCAGGGCCAAGCTGCAGAGCCAACACCAACCCACATACCTTCCTGTGCCCCGAGAAGAGCAGGCTGAGCTGGTGGATGGAGCCTCCATTCTTGGTGAGCTCCTTCTTGAGAGTCCTGGGGGAAGGCAGAGCCCAGTGCCCCGTGCTGCCCTGGCTATCTGAGCAGTTGAGCGTGGTGTCGGAGGTGAAGCAGTGCCCCTTGGCCTCCTGCAGCAGGCTGCCCTCGCTGTGTGTGCGGCGCCGCAGGGAGCTCTGCACGCTCAGTGTGTACGCAGGCTGGCAGCCTGATGTCTCAATCATGCTGCTGCGCTTTGCCTCGCTCCGCTCCAGGTAGTTCTCGTCGCTGTCATCCTCTTCATCCTCATCGTCCTCTTCTTCGTCATCCTCATCTTCATCCTCCTCATCCTCACCATCCGCGGTGCCACCAGCTGTGCCCACCATGCTGAAGGAGCTGTCGAGGCGCAGCTCGGGGATGACGAAGGCCGGCACAGAGCTGGGCTGCTCTTCACTTTTCTCAGCGGCCGCTGGCTGCTTTTTGGCCAGGAGAGGCCCCTGGGCAGCTGCTGGAGCCTCGGATGGAGCCGGCACCTCTGTGGCCGGAGGAGCATCGCCTGCAGCCACCCTCCTGTCCTCCAAGTGCATCTGCCCAGGATTCTCGGCGTCCGTCTCCTGCATCTGCCCCAGGAGAAGATAAAGGAGGATGAAGGCAGGAGCACCCGAGCCTCTGAGTGGCAGCCCTCCCATACAGCCTCTCCACTGCTAACACCCAGCACAAGGCAGGGGTGTTCCTACAGCACTAACTGGACTCCAGCAGTTGGGACAGCACTGCCCCCAGCGGTCCCACAGCCCCCAGTCCCAGTCCTGGTTCCCAGAGCACCATGTCACCCACTATAGCTATGGGGTGGCAGCAGGATGGGGCCACCTTCCTGCAGCACTGTAGATGAGTGGGTTTGGAGAAAATAGTGGGCAATAGGGCTGGTGGCTCCAGCACAGAGGCAGAGCTGCAAACATCCTTACCGCGACAGATCCCTTGTCCTGCTGAGAGTCAGCCCTTGGGTGGCTGCAGCAGAGGATGGGAAAACCCAAAATGCAGCTCTAGCACCTCCTGCCCTGCGTTCTTAAAGGCAGGAGGGAAGTGCCAGGCTCTGCACATCA